ACGAACACGATCTTCTCCAAGTACTTCATCACATATCCAGCAGTTGACTGCGTTCTGAAACTCAAGCTCTAGTTCTGCCGTCATGTGAATTGGCTTGATATCAGCCAAATCCTCCTGGATACTGCCTTCCAACTCTTTGAGACTGTCGAAAAAGTTGTGAATGGCATTCTCACTGCAGTCGTCAAACTCGCCACGGACTTCACCGTTGGATCGGATGGCAGCATATCTACAAGAGCATAAAAGAAGAAGGAAAGTAAGAATGAGTGATTTTTTTGAAAAAATGGAATCACACAAAATGCACATACTACAACACGAACACAATTAGGGGAGAACAAGACAAGAAGGAATAACAGGAAGCACTGTGCAGGCATGAGTACAGCAAACATTAGTCAAAAACAACACCAACAACAAAACATACCTGATGCTGCATGGTACATGACGGGCTGTGCGTACAGTGCTGCTGCCATGCTGTTCCTCCATCGGCTCAATGATGGCCTCCGTATCAGCGTAAATGATATATGGAGCCACCATCCTGTGCTTCAAATTTGTATATTTGAGGATGCTGTCCTTTGCTGTGGGCATGACTACTGGCACAGGCTTCATCACCTGACATCTCTCGCTGTGATGCTGCAGGGAGGCTGCTGTTTTGTGTGCGGAGAGGCATCGGAAGCAATAGTGTGTGGCATGTCTGTTCTTATTCTCGCATGCACGACTGAAGTTTTTTATCCATGTGAAGTGGTTGTCATGAAGAAGGAGGTTGATGGGAGTCTCCTGTCGCTCGCTGAGATAGAGTGGGTACAGATTCCCCTCGTACCCAAACACATTGATTGCAAGACCATTCTGTATCTCCACTTTGGATACATCACGGAGCGTTGCAGGGAACATTACACCGTCGAACCGCAGCTCCTCAAGATACTGGGTGTACTTGGATGCGCGCTCAGCATTCTGTTCGACGGGGTGCAGCGCTGACAACAACGCCCACATCAAACACCTGTCATCGTTGTTCTTTACGTTAATGATGGCCTTCTTTTTTTCTAATTTCGGCGGGATAGCAGCTGCACCACCTACAGAACACCACAAAAATACACCGAAGGCTTTGCTCAGAGTAACACCACATCACAACTACACCCTCGCGACAATCACGAAAAACTGTACATCTGGTACAAAACATACATCTACAACTTTCCACAAGAAATTCGACAGGCTTCGAACAAACATTGCCGGATGAACAGAAACTCACCTCGAAGAGGAGTGTACTTTGCTGTCGACACATCCAGCTGTCTCACTCGAGAAACGGTCCAGTTGGATCCGTTCTGCATCCACTTATCAATAAGACCAGTGATCCTCGCCACCATCGTCTTGACTGCACCATCAATGTCCCCTTCGCTGAGGATCCGAGCCGGTCTACTTCTAAAAAACGGGACGGCAGACGTACTACCCGTGGCCGACTCTCGTGTCATCTCCACCCTCAAAACTAAAACCACCTTGAAAGGGTGAGACTGAAGCTCCTCGAGCAGAACCTGTCGGAGCTCGTCATGATGGCTGCTGAAAAAGACGAGAGGATCAGTGCCTGAACCTGGCAAAGAAAACTTTTTCAAAAAACCACGCACGGCACTCGAGGTGGGCTGTCTGGGCTGCCTGGATCGTTTTGCACTTGGCTCCGCCATCGTCACGTCACCTCCAGCACTGCCTACAACATACTGAGGAAAAAATCTCCCCGTACAGCGTATATGAGGTCGGCTATCACCCTACAATGACACGTGTACACCTTGTGTATGCGTCTTTTCCGCAGGGTCACTGAAGGTCGCACGCTCCGCGTGCTTATGCGCGCATGCGCAATATGTCACTGCACATCTACGATGTGCAAATCAGGCAGTAGTACGTATTTTACTACTCCCCGGTGCGAATGCACCGAACGTGCACAAGTGCACGGTCGCCACGGAAAAGAACATGATGACATTTATGACATGGCAGGGGTCAAAGGTCAAACCCTAGGGAGTCCCGGGGCCAGACCAAGCGCGCCCGACACAGTGTGCCTTATTTAACCTAAAGGTCAAAGGTCAAACCCTGGGGGAGTCCCGGGGCCAGACCAAGCACGACCGACACAGTGTGCCTTATTTGGCCCAAAGGTCAAAGGTCAAAAAGTGCACCAGAACCTGCCCCGCACTAACTACTACCATTGAACACAGTAGTACATGTAAATTACACAGAAATAGGAGATTAAATCTAACATTATCTCCCTCGTGAAAGAAAAGTGATAAATATCACATGAGTGAGTAAAAGACGAAGACAACAAGAAGAAAAACATGACAAAAACAATGGCAATTGAATATGATAACTCGGATGGAAGAAAAGGACCAAGGACCTACAAGACGTGCTAGAGCTGATAGCCAGTTTGTTGTAGAACGGCAGTACTGTCGGTCAGTTTGGTGCAATGTTATAATTATTGCTATTGCATGAGCTGATTGTCAAGTAACTGGTGGTGTTAGTGGACAGTATAGCATAACTTGTAGTTCTTTGGTCTTTTTTTCTTTACTATGAATATGAAAACAATCACAGTTCGCTCAGTACTTGCACCTTTAACTTCCTGTGGCTCAAGATGATGAACTGCATGCTTGTATACCTTCCCAGCTACTTAAACTTCTACTATCCGAACAGCACCATCCTTACCTGAATAGGTCATAAGCACACGTCCAAGTGGCTAGTGTGCAGTTGCGGTGTGCTTATCCATCACAAGCACGATATCTCCTTAGGGTGATGCTGTTAAAGCGACCACATCACTTGGATGCTTAGCTTCGGAACAATCTCTTTCAGCTAACGTTTCCATACCTGATCTACAATACGTTGCACAAACTCCCAGCGCTTTCTTGGGTGAGCTTGAGTCATTGTAGATGTGTTGGCTTCAGCAGCAACAGTTGCCCTAGCATGGCCAATGAGAAAGTGTTGTGGCAATAGCAGCTGAAGGTCTTCATGCAGCACCAGTTTCATTGCCTTGGCCATTACCTAGAACACACCACCAAAGTGTGGTGCACTTGGTGGCTTGAAGTACCAGGTAATGTCGCGGTATGACCTTTCTGCTGCTAGTCTGAAGTTGTCGAGAAACTTGACAGCTGCTTTTACCTCTCGATCAGCCACACGGAAATTGGTACCGTTGTCCGATTGCATCTCTTGTGGCACACCACGTCGCATGGTGAATCGGGGTCTAAGAGCCAGGAGAAAACCGTCGTTGTCCAGAGATAACCTCGAAATGACAAGCCCTAGTCAGCAGGCATGTAAACACACATACATATATCTTTGAGTTGTGACCGATCTTGACCCTGGCGTGCATAGAAGGGGATGTCATAGCCGACACTAATTATGGCAAATGACTGATGTGGTCCAGTTGTCTTGAAGTCGGGAAGTGGTGGCATTGCTGGTGTTGCTGTTTTGATATGGCCCTTGCGGCAAAGAACGCACTTGGCCCGATGCCTCCAGGTGGCCTGCATCACTGGAGAGAAGCCACTCATCCGGCACAAGCCTCCACGAGTGCTGTGTGCTCCTCATCGTGAAGTGATACCTTCCCAGTGAACGTCAACAGGCGTGTTGATGTGTTCGACGACAAAGTGCAGTGGATCCATGCGTTGAGGGGGCTGGATCACTGGAGAGAAGCCAATCATCTTGCGAGAGCAGTAGCAAGTGCGTGTGCAGTTCAGCTCCTTCTCTGCAGACCTTGCAAGCTGATTTCATACACCACTGCCACAGGCTATGTCTGTCAGCTAGCTACAGCAACAATATCCTCTTCATGAATGTTCAAAACTATTTTCTTGGGTCAAAATTAGCTCTCCACTGTCTACAACACAGCATGATCGCATGTGCATGGACAGGATCCGACTGCGATGCAGCTCTCCTGGAAGGAAGCAAAGTTCTCCTGTCGCCAATGCCATCGCTTGTCAGTGTCACTCAAGAAAAAATAAATTTCAATTTCAGAAGCTACGAATTCAACGCATTCCAGTCTGCTTCCACCAAGACTACTACAGGGCATCTGATTTGACAAGGTATATCAGTAGGACCAGGAAAAGTCACAGTAACGTTTGCAAGATCACTAGCCATTACAACAAGTATCAGAACATCAAAACAAACCTCGTGTAGATCCACAATTTCACATTCAACCCATCGATCTACAATTTTAGGTTCCCTTTCCCGCCAGCTGGACATGCATGCATGCATGCATGCTCTCACCAGGCCGGGAGTCGTCAAATGCCGGTACTTGACGACTCCCTGGCTCTCACTTGTCAGCCAGGCTCACACGTCTTGTCATGCACGCGCAGACGTCCAGCACACACGCGTGTCGAAATGTGTTTTTTGGCGGGTAGTCGGCAAAAAATTAAGTGAGGGTCCCTTTAGTCCTTCGCCTAGCCTTACTACTACTTCTACACCATCTTGGT